TCCATTTCATTTCAGGATACTACAATCATAGCCCACGAAAAGGAGATTCAGGAACTCAAATCCCAAGTATCCGATTTACAAAAACGCCTCAGACTAGCTCTAAAGGATGCCGATAAAAAAGAGGGATTTCTACTCAATCGCGAGCAACAGTTGTCTACACTCGAAGAGGAAGTGGTCATCTTAAAAAATAGAATCCAAAAAATTACATCTCGGAAATATAATAAATCCGCAGAAATCAAAAATTCACTTGACATAGTTAAGATGGCTCAACCGAATCCGAATCAGATTCAACCACCAGTTCCCAATGAGATTAATACAATATTTGATACAGTTCTGGATGAAAATGGGCATATTGATGATTATATCCGAAACTACCAAATATCGGCCTGGAATCAAAGAGATATTCTAAACAAAATTATTACAGTTAACGATTCTGTAAATAGGCTTTGGGATATAGCTGAGTGGGAAAATACCCAAGCGCAAGTCCAATATCAGCAAGATGCTAATGCAATTAATCAGTTAAATAATTTTGTGACCCAGCTTCAGACCCAAAATCAGGGAGATGCGCAAATTATCATACAATTGCAGGCTCAGCTGGATACGGCGAATAATAACTTCGATCTTCTTAACCAGGCCCACATTTTTCAGACCGGGCAACTACAAACATGTCAAACCGATTTACAAAATTGGCGTAGAAAGCATGCAAAGAGAAAAGGTAAACATATCAAGCAAAAGACGAAACACAAAAAATGGGAAAATAAGGAAAAAGGTTCGAGGCAAATAATTATAAATTTAAATCAACAAATTTTAGCGCTTCATAATAACCTACCAAATATGACAGCTATAGGTGACTTGACTGGTATTACACCTTTACTTGCAAATGTTGAATTCTATGATGGACAGGTTCAGCCCGATGAATGGTATAATAAAATTCACGCTATACTAGCTATTCCTGCGATAACAAATCTTAATGATGCCAATAAAGTGGCTATTTTAAAGGGTAGACTTGGCCGAAAATATGCGGATGTTCCCGGCCAACATGCAGGAAATAATATTGATACCCCAGCTCATTTTATTGTCTGGCTACATTATAAATATCAGACAGAAACGATTGGAACACAACAAGTTGCTCTCCAGAGGCTAGCTTATGAAAAATTTTTACCTAATGATACACCAGATACATATGAGACTAGGATACGTCCCTTATTATTAGGAGTTGCTAATAACGATGCTAATGCCTTGTCATTCCTTATGAATCATTTGCCTGATGAGATTTTTAACCGAATGGAAAGTACAAATCCCACAAATTACAATGAATTTTTCACTAATCTTAAGAATTTATGGCTCAAACGTAGACCTTCTTCATTTAATTACGGAAATGCGAATAGTATGAATGGAATGTCATTTCAACCACCTCAGCAGATCGTTCAACAGCCTACATTCCAACCACCTCAGCAAATCGTTCAACAGCCAGTATTCCAACCGCCTCAACAGATTGTACAACAACCCACATTTCAACATAATTTCCGCCCAAAAACTGAGAAAGCTAAGTACTATGAAGATCTAAAAAATTACGCCGAAATGGGCCTTGAGGTTGAAGACAACAGAGTACTAGAACCGATGGAAATTGATTACGCAATTATCAACCT